GGTCCAGGCCCACAGGTCCAGCCCCACAGGTTCAGAGCTCCACAGGTCCAGGCCCACAAGTCCAGCCCCACAGGTCCAGGTCCACAGGTCCAGGCCCACAGGTCCAGGTCCACAGGTCCAGGCCCACAGGTCCAGGTCCACAGGTCGCCCTTCAGGGGCCTGCCCCTTTGTTTCTGTTTCTGACTCCTTTTTTGGTCCCTCCGCACTTCCCCTACTACCTGTGGTCAGGTTTTGCTCAGCCCGGGAGGCTATTTTGGGTGAGGGTGCTATTTATGCCATTTGTGACATGTACCAGACTTTTTACATTGGTGTCAAAATGGCCCCTTAGACAGTGTCCTGACTGTTGTGAGCCACCCAGTGCCTCTCAGGCTGTGGGAATTTCAGTCAACCTCAAGTATGATCTAGTAGCAGTAACTTGAATACTACAGAGAGGCTTCTGGAGGGTGATGGTGTGGAGCTGATTTGGAGAGCAGGTGCAGATGTGACTGAACCTGACGGGACATTTACTGACTGTGATCAGCTAAGGGGTGGCTGGCAAGGGGACTCCTGGTTGTGTCATTCTCCCGGACCCCTGGGCACCATCAGATGTCCGGGCCCAGTTTGTCACCCCTGTGAGATCCGAAGACCTGTCTCTTTGGGGGATTTTTCTTGTTCCTTTGAAGCAACCCGTTAAAGCTTGTTCTTTGTCAATAGGGTGACTCTGAAGAGGATGTGGAGGAGCCTTCCGAAGAGCACAGGTAAGGGGGGCCTGGGCGTGGCTACCTGCTGAATTTCCTTGCCCACTCTGGGTGCCGTCTCAAGCTCGGGGTGTGTTTGTGTTTGTGTATGTAGTGCGATGCCGCGTATCTGTATTAGTTACATCCTAGCTAACATGGCTGTTTTAAAATAAGGTGGTACAGAAAGCTGCCAGACACCCTCCCCAGCACGCGCCCTTTCCCATGGCATTTTACGCCCTTGTTCACCAATGGGAGGCATGAGCTGGGTGTGGGTGCAGGACAGAAGACATTAGAGCTGTGTTGCGTGTAGTGGAGAATCACATTACTGTAAACACAACAGTTAATGCTTATAAACTAAGAACTGCCAAGCATTAGCTGACTGGTAAAGAATGATGCGCTGAATGGTGGCCAGGCGAGACCCTTCTTAGGAGATTCCATACACGCTGAGGTCTGGAGGACGTGCAGGTGCTACATGCAGCAGGGAGGACGCACAGTCTGGGTGGAGTGACAAAGCCAGAGCCGGACGTGGGGAGCAGTGGCAGCAGTAGGAACAGGGGAGGCCCTGTGCGTAGGAAAGAGTGACCAAGTAGGGTCTGACAGGCCACAGCAAGGAGGCTGGGTTTTATTTTCATTTTTTATTCCTTTATTGTAAGACTTATTTATTCTGCATAGGAGAACGGGGTGTGGGCCAGAGGTGAGGCGGGTGGGAGGATTCACCAGAGACAGAGCGGGGAGCAGAACAGGCAGATCAGTGAAGCACACTGCTGAGGGGAGCAGCGGGCGGGTCAGGAGAGGTCTGCCGCGCCATGTGGGTCAGCTCTGGGGCTGGGGATCGATCTCAGACCATCACGTGGGCTTAAACAGTGGTAGAGCTGAGACTTAACCTCTGGGCCACCAGGGAGGCCCTTGGACTTTATTTTTAAAAGTGTGGTATGAATTGTTAAAAGATTTTAAGCAGGGGTTAGCAAACCAAAGACATAAATTACATTTGACATACTTTGGCCCTGGGGCAGCCTGGCGGTCACACACTGGGCTATGTCCTTGGAGGAGACGTGAGACCGCTAGATAGCACCAGAATAACTGCTGGGTACTCAGCTGCACATACTCTCCTGAAACTGATCTGAGGTTGCAGGTTCTCGTTCCCTATCTCCACTGTCACAATCTCGCTTCTCCCCTTACCAGAAGAAGGCACATTTTTCAGCCAGCCCAGTGCTCTGTGGGCTGTCTTGGCTACACAGGTTAGGGGAAGTTTGAAATTATTAAGGCGGAGAAGAAAGTGATTCACTCTGATGGGATGACAAGTGCACTTGTAACTCTGGTGGTTTTCCAATTTTTGTACAAAACTGAAGGCAGAGTCCCAGTCAAATTGGCAGTTGTTGGGTCATCCAAAGGCATTTTTAATAGAGACTAAGTGTGAGTTTTGGAAATAACACTGAGGGAGGTTAGGGTATGTTGGGTTGCTGTAACAGCACTCCCATCCACATTTATGTGAACAGGTTTCTCCCTGCTTACATGAAAAAACAACAAGGAAAATAAGACTAAATTGATACCATCTTACCTTATCTCATTCTAACAGTAAGTAATATTTACATAAACCAGATGGAGAAACAAAGACCGTTTTCTCCAGCTCATTGAAAGATAGTTTTTCATTGAAATTTGACTTATGTTTAATTGTCAAAATTTGTCAACTTGATTATTTTGATCAGTTGTGGACTAATAAAAGAAGAACATTTAGACTGTATAGTCACAGGAAAACATTTTAAAACCCCAGAATTTTAATTTATACCCCATAGTTTCATAGCAAAAGACTGTGAAGATAAAGCTATATTAGGTTAAAGTTCTTGGAGGGGCTATCCAGCAATACAGGAAAACCTATTTTGTGGATTTCAAATCTAGATGAGATTGGCCATCACTGCCATGGTATTTAGAATTCACCAGATATATTTAAAAACGACGGTTTTAGTAAAAGTGCCAATTGTTACAATGTGCCAGAAGCTACGTCGCCGCCATTTAACTCATAAAAATTTTAAGTGTGGGGTCCTCCTTGGTGGCACAGGAGCTAAATTCTCAGTGATATCAAGCAATGGCCAGCCACTCAGGCATGAATTCGATCCCCAATCAGGGAGGTGACCCACATGGCGCAGCAGACCGCCCCTGTTTTATCAGCTGCTCCCCTCAGCAGTGTGTTTCAGTGGATCTGCCTGTTCTGCTCCCCACTCTGTCTCTAGTGAATCCTCTCACTCCCCTGACCTCCCCACCCCTCTGGCTTACACCCTAGTTCTCTTATGCAAAATAAAATCTTTAAAAAATTTTAAATGTGGGACAACTTCAGTATATGTGACAGAGCTCGGAGTTTGTCACAGTCCTCTTGGGGTGGTTGGAGTAAGAAAAGTTGAAGGGTGCTGCTGGTGGCTCGGAGCAGGCCAGTGGCTGTGGGGTTGGGGGGACATAGAAAGTTCTGAGTTGAATTCTGGGGTGGAAAAGATTTAGTCCTTGTTGAATCAGTGTGGAGAGTGAGGGAAAAGGACAGCTCAGTGGACGACTTCTAGAATTTGGCTTGAGCCTCTGGGGAGAGGATGATGATGTGATAGGGGGCCTGTTGTGGGAGAGTCAGAACTCCGGCTGGTCGTCTCCGGAATGTCAGGCTTGGTTTGAAAGTCCAGAGACAGAAGGCAGAGAGGCCCAGAAACCACGGGCATTGGAAGGAGCTGGGGCCCAGGCTGCTTGGGGCTGGGGCCGGAGGCCAGGGGAGGTCAGCCAGCTGAGGTGCCTGTGCCTTTGATTTCTGGTTTCTTCCACCAACTTTCTGTGCAGCACGGAAGTATTGTCCTTTGGTCTTTTGGTGCTGGATGGGGTGGGACGGTGTGGGGTGAGAGAGCTGCACCAGCGGTTAGCAGCGGGAGATGCGTTTCACAGCCACCGCCTGTACCTGGCCGCTCCGGAAGGCATGCTGACTTATTTATTTGGAAAATCCTGCTTGATCTTACCACCCGCTGCTCCCACTTCTATTTTCTATTTATTTATTTTGTTGTTGAGGAAAATACACATCAGTGGCTCTCTTAGCCCTTTGAAGCAGCAGCTCACGGCTCACTGACTGGTGGGCGACCCTTCCCTGCCCCTACAGGCTCCTCCCTGCCACTGAAGCAAATGCCGGTCACCGCGTCTGGTGGGTTTTCATGCCCCGTCCTGGTGCTGGTCTGACCAGGCCCGACGTTCGTGTTTTTAATCTTCTCAGCTTCGGTTCACCTACTAGCCCGACTCACTCTCCTTTTGACTTCTAGAGCTCTGTTTCTTTTGGCTATTTTTTGTTGAGATTTGTTCCGTATGTGTAAAGACAAAAATCACGCCACGGGTGGGAGGCTGGATTAGAAAATCTGCTTGGTCTTCACATTCTGAAAATGTGGGTCCTGGAGTTCTCTCCAAAAATGATCTCTGGAAGAGCAATGCCCCTGATGGGCGGGAGGAATTTTTTTTTTTTTAATAATATAATAGTATAATAGTTTATTCTTACATCATTATATGCCTTTTTCCATCTCAGTTGTCATCCCCGTGGGCTTCCCATCACCAGATCACCCGTGTGCCACCACCAGAGTCCAGTGCACTTCCCTGAACTGTGCAGGAGGAATTTTAAGTTAAAAGAAATTTTGAGGCCCTCATACGCTCATATCATGGCTTGCTATTTTACAAATAAACTGACCCTTTAGGCAACATTTATTTTATTTTATTTTATTTTATTTTTATTTTATTTTATTTTGTTTTTTAAAGATTTGTTTATTTATGCATACATATTTTACAAATAAACTGACCCTTTAGGCAACATTTATTTTATTTTGTTTTTTAAAGATTTGTTTATTTATGCATATAAAACTGGGGTACAGGCCAGAGGTACAGGAGTGAGAGGATTCCCCCGAGACAGCGTGGGGGGCAGGACAGGCAGATGGATGAAGCACACTGCTGAGGGGAGCAGCGGGAGACAGGAGCGGTCTGCTGCGCCATGTGGGTCAGCTCCGGGGTGGGGATCCAGCTGGAGCAGCCGCGGCTGGCTTAGCAGTGCCGCACTTTAACCTGCTGCGCCCCCCGGGAGGGCCTTAGACCACGCGTAGATTTACAGCTGACCCACTGCCACTGCGGTGCCTCGCCCCAGCTCAGAAGCCTGCACTGGAGCTACGGTGAACTCAACTCCACACTTCGCTCGGAGCGGACTGGCTTTCCCACAGTGCCCGCCCTGTGTCCAGGACCCCTGCCGGCTGCCAGGTCACCTTTGGTCTGGTCTAGGCCGACCCTCTTGGTGTTGACACTGTGTCGGTTTTCCTTGTTCTTGTTTAGCCTGTCAGGGATTCTGTAAAATGTGCATCCATTTGGGGGCGCTTGGTTTTCCCTCATGGTCGAATTGGGGCTCAGGGATTGGGATGGGAGCTGTGATCGCAGACGCCATGCTCGTCACCGGGCAGAGGTCGCTGCTGTCAGCGTGACTCAGTGCTTTGGCGTGGCCTCGGGCACCTGGCTGAGGCCGGCTGGGGGCCTTCTCCTCGTGGATTCCTCTGTCCACCTCTGTGAGTCCCGCACACGCTGCAGTCATTAAGTGGAGTTAAGCTCTGCCGACATAAATAACTCAGAACTCTGTGTGGGAGATTTGTCCATGCTCCCCGTTTATATATTTACGCAGTCATTTATCAGGATACTTATTCTTTGTGTTGTACACTAAGACTAGACTTGCCCTGCTGTTTGAATGTCATTGGTCCTTAATCTTAGGTACGAAGTTCCTAGTCTTTCTTTGCACAATTGCAAACATTTTTGTGATTCCAATGTCAACTGCTACCCCCTCCCCCATGCCAACTCTTAATGATAGTAAGGTGTACCAGACAGCGGAGGCTGCCCTTGGGAATTCCACAGAATGAGCACGTTGTCTCTGAGACGGCCCATTTAGAGGGCAGCTGCCCGCTCTGGACTCGAGAAATAAGATGTGACCATAAACCAGAGTCAGGATGTCCCAAGAAGAGCGTAGGTGGGCCTTGACCTCA